ATTTAGGTTTATTTCCAATTTTACAGCGAAAAGAAAAAACTCCCTGTATTAGCATCTACTCACATTCACCATTTTACAAGAAGACTGTGCCACTGGCCTCTGCCACTGGGATTTGAAAACACTCACAACACTTCACCTTTATGCTGGGCTAAACTCTGGGTAGTCATAAACACTTTGAAGTAATACAAACCTAAATATTCCTGCTAGGCAAACGGAGCAGTGGAACCGAATTATAATGAGCTAGCAGCTGTCACAATATGACCACAGTAACCAAATCAAAATATCAACCGCGAACCCAGATGAGATTCAAAGGTCATCCTATAAGCCAGCAGCTTTCTTCAGTTCTGCCTGAAACCCCCATCTAATCCTGCAGTAAAATGTTCCGCTGAGCTCGTTTAGAAACCAGTTACTCTATGGTGAGAAACTATTTGGGGCACTGGTAGAGTACCGTTAGTGGGGCTAGAATCAAATACCACAATAAGGAAACCGAACCATTCACAATGGGACATGTAAAAACACAGCAGCTGATGCTGAACTAAGCTGCACCCAACTGCACAGAAGTAGCACTTTTCACATCCTTCAGTTACCGACGCGTGTCTATAACCTTACTGGCAACTTGCTCACCCCAACAATCTGGTTTTCAATTAAGCCCCTCGAACAATAGAAGGAAAATGCATGCTTAGATCCTTCCTTGGATCAAAACGTTTTAGCTAGAAAATATATGGTTTCCCACTGTAAAAACACTTGGACAATTACTTGCAAAAGTTTAATGCTTGTAAGAAAACAAACAGGGTCAGAATGCTAAAAAACCCATGCTGTTAAAAAAAAATATCCATACTCTTTGCATATAGCTCTTGTCGGTATTTTCAAACTATTCCATAGCGCATAATCCTCCTAAAAACACAAACCTCAGACCCACGGCCCTTCTGTCCTATCAGCATATTCTGAAAGCTACTCACTGACCACCTATAAAGGTTTAGTCAAACTGTTTAAAAACTGCAGTGAAAAAGTTTCCAGTAGGTCAAGTGTACATTATTGCTGTTAATAATCATAAGCACTCACAAAGAAAAAATGATTTGTTATTTCCAGACACAAAACAGAACACGGCATTTCAAACAAGGAAAAATGCAAAATGGCATGCTTGTCTCCACCCAAAGAAAGCAATGAGTGAGGATCCCGGAAATGTAAGGTAAAAGAGTGTAACACACAGACATCGAATCATTATGTTATACACCTGAAACTAATATAATGTCATATGTCAGTTATACCTCAATAAACATATAAACAACATGTAAAAAAGAGAGTACATCTATGAACTGGTCAGTGCAGGCAGTGAGCTAGATGACTCAGTGCTATCGTCTCTCAACTTGAGATTCCCCCACACAAAAAGGAAAACAAAATGTCATGCAAGCTTATTTAAAAAAAAATCAGGGGCTGGCTTTTTTGTTTATTTTAGTTATGTTTTCCTTTAAATAATTTTACAATATCAACTTCCAAAACTTTGTATGGCAACTGTAATTACAGACATTAAAGGAAGTGGTGCAGCCTTATAAATCAAATAGTGTCATTAATTCCAACAGAATGGTGGGGGGGGAGCAGTGTGCACGCACGCACGCGTGCATGTGTGCAGAAACCCATACATGCATGCAAGTGCACTTGTATTCATTTGTTCATTTTTACTTTAGGAATTCACAAACTATCAAATAGGGTATTGCATTCAGATATGCAAGCTTATTTCTAAAAGAATAAATTAATGAAGATAGTCTAGTACTCTTATAAATTATATACCATTTTGGAAAAAATTGAAATGCACAAATAAACTGAGTATTGGTATTTTGGTGCCAAACATAAATATTTATATGACAAAAATTACAGCATTTATGCTAAACCGTTCACGTGAAATCAAAAAGTTCCGAGTTGTAATAAAGGGCTTTATTACCGTAAGAGTTCATGAGCAAATGTTAGCAAGGCCTGTATGGTTTCTCCAAAATACTGTATTGCCATAAAGGACAAAATACATAACAATAATGTACTCCCAAAAGGAGAGAGCAGTTCATTACTTTTTTCTTTCCTTGCAAGAAAATAAAACCTTGCTAAGTGAACAGTTTACTTAAAAAAAAAAAAATCGGGTCATCTGCAGTTAATAACTCTTTCCCGTAAAATTACTGTCACTTGTTTCTGTAGCAGACGCCTAATTCAGTCACAGGCTTGATTGATTTGACAACAGAGAATCTGGTCCAATAAAGTGGCTGATTTATTTCTTATGCTATAGCTTTTACCCTAATGTGACATCATAGCAGAATTAAATCTTTAACATGTAAAGAAATCCTTTGTAGTTTTAATGAAAACTAAAGATTCTGAAAGCAGGTATTGACTCTGGTCAAAAACTTACAATGAAGTCTAATACCTTCTTTTGGTAGAATGAAAACTTCCACAAAGATCATGACACAGAATAGATTTGGACACAAAGAGCAGTTCAGAACAAGCCAGGTACTCCATGAGTTCAAATGGGTGGCCACACTAATAGATCTTATTTTATCTTCATCTCCATTTGTAAGTTGGTTGTCTTTAATTTCTCAAAAACGGCCTATCTTCTCTTTGGAAAAGTGCAGCATAACATCTCGAAAGTGGCTTTATTTTAAATAAACAGTGGCTTGGGCAAAAATCAATGAGAATCTTTGTTCCCTTAATCTAGCTCTGAAATAGTCAAGTCAATCAAGAAGGCATTTGGGATATGAGAAATTACAGGGGTGGGAAGAGTTCATGCAGCATCAGGGGCAGTTCTCTAAAAATACTTTTAAATTCTTCTCCAAACTAAAAATGCAAGGTATTTCATAGTTGTTTAAATGTCTTTTCCCCTTTTTTGCAGACTGCGCCGTGCCCTCGCGCTCTGAGGGCGACTTTCCTGACCCCAGTCTGACACTGCGCCGTTAATGTCAGATAAACCATTTAGCCCCAGCACAATTCTATTCTGTGCAAAAATCTGCTTGAGGTGGAAAATGTAGCAGTTTGTAAACAATAAAGAGCCATGTTTCAGACCAGACAGCTTATCTAACAGAGAAGTCCTTTCATGGGGAACAGTGGGTGGGAGCCTCCCGGACATAGTAGCATTTCCTATCACAATGCAGGAGACTGTCTTGGCCTCCATATTTAAGAGTTTAATGGGAAGGAGGGCAGACGGGATAAAAGAACACAGCTGACATGGACTTTCAGCTTAAACAACAACTAAGTGAAAAGAGTCAGCTCTCTCTGCTCTAGCTCCAGGCTCTCAGCCCACTTATATTTTAAATACTATTTGGATTGAAAACCAAATTTGGCTTGTAAAACAGGTGCCCATGAGGACAGATGAACAAGAACAAATATTTAATGCCCTTGTATCGCTTGGTGTATTGCGTGATACTAATTTATCAAGTTGTTCCTTAGGACACCTTTTTTTTTCCCCACGTACATAACATAAACTTCTAAATATGAGTAGTAATTCATTCATTCTATTTTACTTTCACTCATCAGAAAATAGTGTTAGAATCTTCTAAGGGAGTTCTTTAATATGCCCTTTAAGTACTACTTCCTAAGATTATTATTTTCAAGTTAATCTTTTACTCTGTGTTATGAAATTGAATGAGGATCACTAAAGAAGCAAGGAGTTAGAATTTAATGTTAGTTCTACTGTCCCTGAAGAGTCTAAAGATGTTCTTTAAAATCTAAGTTGACAAATACATCCAGTCTTCCGTATCTCCATATCCTGAACCTGCCTATCAATAACTGATAAAAACCAAGATGTTTGCTTTAGCTACAATTATAATATAAATATGAAATTTACCACTTTAAAGTAAAAGAGAAGACAAATATAATAACAGCCTATGATCAAACACACTTCATGGTTCTCAAAGTTGGAATGATACTTAACGGCACAGATGATATTACTCATTTAAAATAAGTTGCTAGTATTTCTTTGCTTTGTCTACTTTGTGTTAAATACTTGAAATTCCTTTAGATGGATTTGATGGTGACTTTTGAAAAAATGAGCTTCAAGGACTATCTATACATTAAATAACAAGTATAGCTTCCAAAGCTTAAAAATAGGACATTCTTTAGAAGCATTTGCAATTATAGTTTGAGAATGATACCACTATGGCTGTGTGCTTTTCATGGAGTATGGCCCAATGCCTCATGCCAAGAAATTTCATTTCATTTATTGATGGATTTGCAACAGAATTTGACCAAGGTGAGATTTATTAATATTGTTAAAAACTCACATTTACTAGAACAAAGATCATTGTTTCACACAAAACTGAAGTAACCTACTATTGCTCACTGTTCCAGTTACTAATGTTAAACACACATCCCCATGAGGTAAACAAACAGAAAAGTATGCTAAAGACACCAGTATAAAGGGCAGGCTGGAAACTCACACACTATCTCAAGGGTAGCTTGTTCCAGTGAAGGAGGGTGCAGTCTGCCTAGATCATCAGCACTAAAAAGCTGGCACCTCAATAAACACACAACCAGATTTCCTAATTCAACTTGAATGCAATGCTCTGACTTAAGCACTCTAAACCTATTAATAAAGGGGTTTCCGTAAGCCCTCTAGTAAGAATTCACAGGTAATACTGACTATATATCATTGCCAATGGAGAGGCCCAAAGATATTTTCATTTTAAACAGTCACCACTTTGACTTTGTCAATCTTAAATCAGAAGGTAAGTATTACAACACTGAAATTGGGATTAATGCTTTTATACCTAAGGAAGACAAAATCCCCACAGCGATTTAGTATCACTGAATTCCTGTGATTCCACATGGTTATAAAACATAGTCCTTTAATGCGCTACTACCAAGCATAAACCGTCAGTATTTTTCTGCAAATTTAAAATTACTAGAGTGAACTGGCTGAAGATCCCAGTTCCTGAAAACAAAATCTCCGCCTAGGCTGTATTCTCCCCTTTCATGGTAAAATACAAGCATTCAAAAAGTGCAGGTCAATTTAAAAATGGTCTTACTTTGTATTCTGGAATTGACAAAAGGTGGAGAGAGATTGTCATGTGACCCAAGGTCCCTGCTGGTCATGTGGTCATAGGGTGTCCCATCTCCATAGTTCTGTAAATAAAACAACATCCTAAGTTTTCATCCTGCATGAGGAAATCAGCATATAAATACCCCCAATCGACACCTGTGTGACCCTGAGACACTCAAATCCACATTTCCAGTTACATCCCCACTCATTGTAAGAAACCTGAATCTGCACAGGTCCAGTGGGTAAGAGAGGGCGCGAAAGGCTGCAGACTTCAAGTTTTCCTCATAACAGCTGTGAGATCTTAGAAATAATAATAGTAATAGAATCAACTGCATGAAGCTGTTGACATGATTAAGTGAAATAATGTATGTATAACACCTGACGAGGATAAAGTACACTATAAATATTAAAAGTTATTATTTTAGTAAGTCCACGTTACTTGGGGGCGGGAGGAGGCATGATAGTGCTTTGAGGGAAAATTACCCCATAGCCTATAATGAATTACAGAAGTACAGCCTTTTAAACAACATTTCCTTTTACAGTATTGAAATTTCAGTGTTTTGTTACAGCTGTTACTATGGCTGTTAAGAGAATTGGATCATTCCACCAGTAATTAACATGTAAGAATGTTAAAATTAATACAGCAGGACTATGAGTGAACATCAAAACTTTAGCATAAATTAGTACTTCCAGATTTGGACAAAGTATGCCATGAAAAAGTTTTAAAGCAGACATTAACTGGTGGCAGGAATCTGTCATTATTACGATGAACTCATTGGTTTGATAGAATTTAAAATTAAAATAACATTTTTAAACGTTAGTGCCCAGTCACTTATGAATGAAGGGATTGGTAACATATAGGAAAAGTTAAAATCATCTTTACTTTCGGGTTCACATTTCTGACTAAGGGGCATAAAGTAACCAAAAAAAAAAAAAAAAAAAACAGTACAAGTCGATCTACTCAGCTGGTGGACTGCCCATAGAGACCAAGTCAAATCTACTCAGAGGTGGCAGTTGGCTGGTTAGCCACAGGGCAGAATCTGTCCACACAAAACAAGACAAGTACTGTCTGTATATCACTAGAAAATAACTGGAACCCGTAAGTTTCCAAATAATCCTGTTTTTAATCACCTTTCCTCATTTAGAAAAATGAACTTGAATGATACTGTAATCTCATACTGCCAAGAGGTCAGTGTACAAAAAATTGTCACACTTTAAATACCTAGCGTGGGTTTTACACTGATCTGTTATATACCAGGCACTGTGTTATACTAATTTTTATTTATTAAGTGTCCTCATCCCAGTGTACTAAAAGCTTAATATACACTATCTAATTTAAACGTCAGCACAGTGCTTCAAGGTAGCTGATAATATCACCACATTAAGAGAGAACACAGGCTTAGGCATGGGTTGGTACAAATCAGCCACAGAAATCTGCCACATGCAAACTCCCTAAATTTAGAAAATATAAATCATAAACTATCGAATCAAAATTATTCACCAAAATGTTCCCTGAAAAAAAACGTCAGGACAGTCACTGAAAACCAAAAAAAAAAAAAAGTCAGGACGACACTAAGAGACCTTGTTCTCTGAAGAACAATCAAAAGTACTACGTGTGTTAAAGTGAGGAATCATAAGAAATCACGTGTGAATAAGCTAAACAATAGGGGGAAATTCTGTCATCTCCTACACTTGCTGTCAAGGGGAATGGATTTATTTCTGCAAGTGCAGGCTGTAATGTGAGGAGGAGGAAAGATTTCCTCAACCCATCCGTATAATGCATTAGGATATCAAACCCGACAGCTGGTGCGATGGCTCAACAAAGTTAGAGCTTAGAGAACCTGCTGCCCCGTGAAGACCAGGGTGATAACCGCAAGGTCAAAGGACAGGTGGACACGGACAACAGTGGCTTGCTGACACGTCTTCATTGTGATAGCCTGATTACCTTCCTTGCCTCTTATGCCAAAATAGAAACCCCTCCCCACCGCCTCAAATTTACGTGAATACTTACAGCAAAATGTTCCCTCCCTGCAGAATGCTTCATTTATACAGCTGGCTGGGGGAGGGACACGTGTTTGTTTGACTATGTGCTCTCAGTCTATTTTTAATTTGGGGTATTTATATGTATATTAGAAAAGCTGACATGGATTTTAGAGGGCCTAACAATGATTCCATTAAAGACAAATTATGCATAAAATCATATATATGTAAGTGGGAAGTAACATAGAAGATCCTCTGGCTTTACTTTTTCATTTTACCAGTCAGTAAAATGGCATGCCCGAGGTCACGAACACACAAAACTACACACTGCCCGGCCACCCCACTCGACCCCATTCCATGGTCTTCCCATTACACCCAAATGAACAACTAAGGCATGAGGGTAAACCATGAAAAAGACTAGTAAAAATCCGAATCCAAATAAATGAATGAACCCAACTTGTGACCAAAGGCATTAATACCATGTTTACAAAGTGAAATCCACTCTGATGTATTATGTAGATAATACTGGTCAGATAGGACTTCACACTCTGTCTTCAAAATTATGCTCTGGTCTATTTATACCATCACATTACAGTGCTACTAGGATTTTTTTTTTCCAAGTTGTACCACCTACAACAAATAACTTTCTGTAATACTGGATCAATAACTGGCAAAGTAAGGCCAAATATTTAATGAAGGATTTTTCTTCGGGTTCACAGAAGTGGAACAACTGTCAAATTCAATCACAGTATCCAATAAGAGAATGGGAAAAAAATTGCAAACACAAGTTGATCCTCATTAAACTGAGTATGCACATATATCTCTGCGCAGTTGTGTGTGTGAGAGAGAGAAACTCACCTTCAGTTTGTCAATTTACATATGCGGGATGTCTGGTTATGGGGAAAAAGATTATATATACTTACCCTGGATGGGCTTGGATGTCCTCCATTCCCCCAGGACCCTGAGCTACTTCTGTCTTCTACATCTAGGGACAAGGGAAAAGTTCTTTAGGCTTTCTTGCAATAATTCTTTCTTTTTGTGTATGCACTTTTAAATTAATGTTTCAAATTAGTCTCCTGTTGCCTTTAATTAAGAATCAGACGCGGGGCTACCACGATGATAGTGGCTTCTGACCCATCTACTTAAATTAACTCATTTAAATTCACAGCAGAAATGAACTGGACCCTCAGGAACCAGAGGTATCAACATAAAAATTACTTCCATCCTTCAGTGTTTCATAGCCTCAACTTTTATAGACATGAAACTGCACTTAAAGTTTTAGAAGGTCTTTTGGACAAAATAAGTTCAAAAATACACAAATACAACCTTAATGTATATTTCAAAAAGCCAGTTAAGGTAGATATTCGTACTAACATTAGGAAGCACTGTGCCATCATGCTCTTGGGTACCTTTTTGTTCTCTAGTCAAGGTTTCTTATACCACACACAACAGACATGCAACAAACACTCAAGACAAAAAAGGATTCAGTGGTCTGTTACCACCAGTGCACTCACTACAAGGTGACTAGAATTCTGTTTTTTTTAAATGTTCTAAGTAAAAACACCACTGTCTCGGTATCTTAATTATTTTAATAGACTTACCACTTGACTACAGTCCTTACCAGTGCCTACAATCCTGGGCACCGAGATGTAAACTTTAAAGTTGTTAAAGCAATGTTTGATCTCGCTAAGGGATAGCGAAGAGACCTCGATGGACTGCCAGAAAGCTGAAATTCTTCTGACCTCAGTCCCAGCAGAGTTCTAGTGCTGACCAGCTTACTACATGCTCAGTGAGTACATCCAGGAGCGAATGCTCAGGATGGAGAGTGTAACAGCTAAGTTATCATATTAATTGCTTAAAACATGAAAGTGATTTAAAGATCACTCGCTCTATATAGAGAAATGGCTTTGATATTGCTGATGAGAAGTCCTTTATAAGTATACAAAGTTTCACTGCTCTGTTATTTTGATCGCGGTTGATAACAGACAGCCGTCACACACCTCCTCTGACAGAATTGGAGGAGGAGGTGTGAATCTTCAGTTTAGGAGACAAAATCCCATTTATTGTGTTTCCTAACATTTCAGTGATACTGTTTATTCTCCTAATGCACCACTACTGTCATTCCTTTTATTACTGCTATTTTATTATCAGCAGACGTCATCACAGTATAATTAAAATTGATTTATTTTGGGGTACAGTGGAGTACACAGCATTTTAGAATATCTTAAGAGATGGAGTAGCAACAACAAAAGCCAAGTTACTATTACCACTAAACTTGCATCCTTTGGGTGCTTGGGTGGCTAGATCAATTAAGCGTTCGACACTTGATTTGGGCTCAGCTCATGATCTCGTGGTTTATGAGTTCGAGCCCCACATCAGGCTCTGTACTGACAGTGCAGTGCCTGCTTGGGATTCTCTCTCCCTCCCCCTCTGTCCGTTCCCCACTTGCACGTGCAAGAAATAAATAAATAAATAAACTTGAAATCTTTTTTTTTTTTTTAAACAAATATTTCTGTTTCTTTTGTGGGTACTTCAGAAGATAATGCACCTGCAAACAAATGCCCCCCACCCCCCCATGAAGAGCTAAACTCAGTGACCGTGAGCTCTAAGGGATATCAAGAAAGCCCTGGGAAGTGCATCCACTCTGGAGAGGAGGTGGAACACTTTCCCCAAACCTGCTGTTTAACAATCCCACTCCTGGCCTATGGGTATGGCTGAACTGAAATACTTGAAGAAGTGACTTAAAAGCCTCTGGATTTGGGAGTTTTTGCAAGCCTACATGGTCCCCCTCATCCTTAACCAAAATTCAAATATGTTCAGCAGCAAAAGGTATAAATGACAAAAATCTCTCAACCAGTGCAGATTTTCACAAGTCTCACATGTCTTGACTTCCTTTTCCCCTGGAACAGTTGGCCCAGGTTAATTTGAGAGATTTTGTCCTCTTATATTTGCCCAAAACGTAATGAAGGAACAGAGTTGGATCCCTGCATAAGATTTCATGCTGTGTGGTCCCATTTTATCTTAGCAATTTTCAAGGAAATTTTTAAACACAAAAAGTTGGCAAAGAGAAGGAGGAAAGGGGAATGGTTCCCCACCAGGGCGATTTTGGCCCCCAGAAGGCATTTTGGCAATGTCTGGAGACATTTTGGGTTGTCACACTTAGGGTGGGGGGTAGAGGGGCAGCGCTACTGTCATCTAATGGGTAGAGACCAAGCATGCCGCTAACGTCCTATAAATGTTAGAATACAATTCCCACAACAAAAAAATGCTCCATCCCCAAGTCTCAACTGTGTCTAGAATGAGAAGACCTGTGCTGAGGGGAAAATTACGGTAAAGAGCAAAAAGGAAGCATCGAGTTGGGAGAAGAGATGTACTAGAATTTAACTTGTAGTTTAGTATGAATTCCTACTAAATACACAGTGGCTCATGCCTTTTAACCCAGACTTGAGCTGGAGCCTTTCAGGAGACCTTCACACCCATCTTCTGTCCACAGAATAAAGGGAGAATGATGGTCAACCAGGCAGCCTGCTAATTAGCGAGCAGATAAAACACATCAAAACTTGAGTATTCCCAACTGGGCAATTTCAAAAGCGAGCAATCCACTAATTAAAAATGCTGGAAGTCTAGCTTTTTCAAAACAGGTTAAATACTGGCTGGGTTCCTTCGCAAATAGATTCCCAACCAATCAGGTCTGACTGCTCTTTTCCCATCCCTTCTCCTTTCTCTTTCTCATTTCCTGACCTCAGGCTGTTCCACCTTCCTTTCTGCTTCCTCCCGTTCACTGATCTCTTTTAAACAGGCTTTCCCATTCCTTGGCCTCCTGCTAGATCTAAAAGATAAGGGCCAATCTCCAGCTCTCCCAAACCTAATAGAACAATTGTGCCATCTCTGATATACTTTTTTTCTTTGAAAAAAAACAAAAACAAAAACAAAAACCTGTAGAGCTGGTGCTCATTTATCCAGAGCAAGAAGCCACAGAAGCGAGAACACTGATATTTGTGATTCATGATGAATGTAAACACGTTGCTTTTAAGTCATTTGTTTCCCTCTTCCCTCCTACTGAGCTTCATCGGGCCTGCCAGTCAGTTAGAGAGCATTTCCTCAAGGACTATTCCAGTCCGTCTCCCAGGGCATCTGAGGACCGCCTGCATCTGAATCACATGGTATATTCATTTCAAAATCGGTATCTTGGGGCCCACTGCAGACCTACTGAGTCAGGATCTCCCAAGAAAACTGTGTTTTTAACAAGGTCCCCAAGTCATTTTCACGGGCACCTTAGTTTGAGAACCACCAGCCTGCCTTCTCAGGAACACAAGAGCAGAGGAACCACCACCACTTGCCTCTCTCACTCCGTATCTTAAAATTCCTGCCGAGGGTGCCGGATTCAGATTCAGCAGCGTTCAATACACAGTCCCATCACATCTGTCTCCAGTCGCATCTGCATCTTGCCCTAACTCACGTTTCAGTAAACTTGCGTGTGTCCCTTGGCTATTCCTTAATCTCTGCAGGTGTATACAGGCACAGCACACACTTGTAGCCGTCCATGTTTCCGTGCCTGCTAGTCCCTCGGCCTGAACTGTTCCATCTCTCAAAAAATAATAGCAGCTAACATTTAGTGAGCATAAGTATGTGTCCAGCACATCAATGCACTAATAGTACCTCCATTTCATATATGAAAACACTGAGACTTCAACGGAATAGAAAAGTCTCCCAAGCATGCAGCAAACACAGGTGGTGTCCGCGCCGAAGCCAGAGACCACTCTCTTCCGCCACTGGTAATGCCTCCCTGAAGAACGGCATTTCTTTCCATGGCCATCTTGAATGTTACTTCTCAACCATCTCCCTAGGCAGACTGAAAGCATTTGGGAGTTTATGCCTATTCTTAGGTCCACAAAAGATTACAGAATTATATACAACACAAATATATGAAAGTAAATATTTGAATAAATCAAGAGACTGGAAAATAAAAATGGGGGAACAATAAATCCAGAAATACGATAAGCTTCTCAAAATGTACACTGTGATGGACTGGATATTTGCTGGAACGGGGTCAAAATTCTACATGAAAAACAAAAGAGGGAAACAAGATTCACAATGAGTATGGGATAGAAGCACACAAACAGTTCAGGAAATTTATTAAGGCAACATAGTAACAAATGAAAAACTGCCTGGGACTGGGGCTGTCCGAACATTTAGTTCCTGCCTCTCCATCACTCTCCATCCAAGATGGAAATAAAGAACAGAAACACAATAACCTGGGCAGAAGGGAAAGGGAAAAAGCAAGTGGATGGCATAAATTATTCTTCTAAAAGCCTAAAATGGGTTCCACTGTTCCAGACATTTCTGATTTATTTTACCCTAAATGAGGACACATTTGGTCATTTCTATGGGATTGACAGTGGTTTAGGAGGCAACCTGACAATCCACAAAATTCCATTCGGTTAGAGTAGGTCTGCAGAAACCCCTCTAAAATCTCAGACACTTCAGCATCAAAACACAAAAGTAAAGTTTGGGCAGAACTAGGGCCGAACACTCTATTTGGAAAAAAGACACAGATGATTTTTAATTTCTACGATTCTCATTCCATATTCACTAAACTTATGATTTGACTACTCAAATCTCCACTTTGTTTACATGCAAGATTTAAACTGTCAGATAGATTGGACAATTGTCAGAAAACACAGCTCTGGGAGTTGGAAGAGAGACTCAGACTTCAGTAACCACTCTGCATTACCACCAGCTCAATGGTCTAACCCAGTCACTGGCCTCTCTGAACTCACTTTTGTCAACTACAAAGGAAGTGAGTTTGAATTCCATTCTTGGAAATCGAGAAGGCTAGCATATTTGGACAACTGTCCCACAAGAAACTAAAAATGATGGGTAAAATTTTTTAAATCATCTTTAAAATGCTAATAAACTGACAAGATAATAAGGAATTATCAAGCCAAAATCAAAGTGAAAGCTACAACCCAAGAAGGAAAAGAA